TCTTTTGAACGAAAAATCGAAATTTATTTTAAGGAGAAATAACGATTATTTTTAACCTTAGGGATAATGTATGATAGAATGAATTGTGAAGAGTAATGATAAACGGAAAAATAAAGTGTCCAGGGATGGGAAACGAACCCACAGTGTTCCGCTTACCGGGCAGAAAGTGGTTTCAAACGAAAGTATATTGCTCGCACCTATTGCTCTGGCACACTTGTGAGTGCAAAAGTCGAATTGATTTTTACATGTGTAGACATGTGGTGTACTTACAGTAAAAGTAGTCGTTAACTTGGTTATCATTGTCTGTACCACGTGTACTAGGAATAAATTTAACAAAAATTAGTTATCACATTTTTATTTAGTTTCTACTTTTGAAGAAAGTGTACAAATGGAAGGAACCTTTTGTGAGTTTGTATAGAATATCTGATTTGTACAGTCCACATCGGTTACTTGCTGACTTTCCAGTACGTAAACATATCGTGGTGATGTCAAATTTCCATCATCTCGGCTGCTAGCATGAAGCTGGTAATCTCTGGAAAACTATTCCACGTGTTTAACTTTTGAAGGGTAGTGTACAAATCGAATAAAATTCTTGTGAGTTTGTATAGATTATCTGGTTCGTGCAGTTCACATCTGACTTTCCAGTTGGTATGGTGTCTCTTATGCCAATTTCAATCAGCTCGAATGCTAGCATGAAGCTGGTATTCTGGAAAGCCATTTCACTGTTTAACTTTTGAAGGATAGTGTACAATTGAAAGGAAGCTCTTGTGAGTTTGTATAGAATGTCTGGTTCGTGCAGTTCACATCTGACTTTCCAGTACGTAAACATATCGTGGTGATGTCAATTTCCATCATCTCGGTTTATAGCACGAAGCTGGTAATCTCGAACGATATTCCACGTGTTTAAAATTTGGACAGAATTGTACAAATGGAAGGATGCTTTAGGTGAGTATGTATTGAATATCTGGTTCGTGCAGTCCACTTCGGTTACTTGCTGACTTTCCAGTATGTCATGGTATCCCTGATGTCAATTTCCATCATCTCTGTTTATAGCATGAAGTTGGTAATTTGGAAAGCCCGTGCCCCATAAATAACTCTGGAATTATTCGCTGCCACGGCGTTATGGAGGGTGTTCAAAATAGAGGCTCTCCATCAGCTTCCAAGTGGCCCTTTTATAGGACAAAAGAGGAGTTTTCTCCGGGCCACTTGCCGCCGACCTTTGCCAGGGTTGCTACTTTTTTATATTTTAATTTTTTAAAGTTTCTGTCGTTGCTACGCTGTATCATATAGAAATTAAATATTTATATTTCCGGGTGGAATGATCGTTGTTTGATAGTTCTTGAAAGATATTTAAAAAATTGGATATTTCTTTTATGATAAATGTGTTTTGTATAATTTTGAGTTTGGGTTTTGAACTGAAAAACGATCGTGATGATTCTAAGGGAATACCATATTTATTCATATTGAACCAGGTTCAATGTGTGTGTGTGTGTGTATGGGCAAATGATTAACTCTGGAATTCTCCAAACAGAGAACACGTACATTATTCCTGAATTGCTGATAGAACATTTCGGAAGTGATATGGTGTAGGTGATACGATAGACAGTGCAGGGCTATAGCTGTTCTACTATTGCCATATCTCCAGACACAGTGAACATCTACACAATAGACAGTGCAGGACTGGATAGAACCTGCTTCTGTTAGACAACCAGAAAGTACAACAACACAGATCTGATCATCACCTCGACTCCAGACAATGAACCATCTACACAATATACAGTGCAGGAAAGGAGAGAACCAGCTTCTGTTAGACAACCAGAAAGTACAACAACACAGGTCTGAACTACACCTCGATCCATACAGTGAACATCTACACAATGACAGTACAGGACTGGAAAGCTTGCCTATGTAAGTCAAGCAGGAAACAGAAGTGTAAGCCGAGTCCCTATACGTTCTAGAGTTACAACGGTCAAAGAACTTCCGCTGTGGTTACGCAATCATGTACGTCAACCAGTGTGAATATCCAATGTAAGAGGATCTGGCCATCCTGAGGCCGGCGTTTCCGAAGATGAAGTTTCTTTGCGGAAGCTTCTTACAGAAGTGATCACAACTGAAGTTCCATCAATTATACACTCATAGTGACAAAACTTAAGGAAATTTCTATGAAAAAAGACACTTCGGCCAGTTAGAGTTTTTTATTTTCTCAACGTTTCGACAAAAATCTTTTGTCTTCGTCAGGAGAAGTAAAAAAACTCTAACTGGCCGAAGTGTCTATTTTTCATAGAATATGAATGCCGGCCTGGCAGCTTCTATCTTCAGGAGGAAACTTAAGGAAGTTGTACCTTTTAACATAAGGATTCAGACATTAAATCTGAAAGATATTACAGTGACCTTTATTGAAGATACGGGATAACCAAGTGTGAACAAAATTGCCTCTGTCCCCTTAAAAAAAAAAAAAACGACCGGGCGACATCAGAACTTTCCATTTCTTCCAGTTTTTGTCTATGAGTGTATATAGCATTGACCTAATAGCAGCTTCTCTCTCCTTTTAAAAACCATCCCCAAGGACAAGCGAATGTTCTCATTTATATAGACATGGAACTGAAGACGTAGCCTGGGTCTCTATTGTATTCTGTACTGAGACACATCTATATTGGAGTTGGTACGAAAGTTAATCTTTATCGGCTACTTTTAAAGCAATATTTCATTTGAAACAAATATTCATGCTTCAATATAAAACCCATGTAATCGACACATTTTTGTCATTAAGAAACAAGTTGTTGTTGTTCTGATTATATATCATCCCAGAGTTCTGGAGATAACAATTACATATACCCTATACAGGATTCGCACAGGTACATAATTGCTTAAAAAAAGATGATTTAGTTATTTCAAGTGAACGTTCATTTATATATACATTTACATACGGCTTTCTTTTATCAACGTTTTTTTTTCTCTCTAGCGCAGCCCTATAAAACTTGTTCAGGGGCAACTTATTGGATTTATTCTTTGTCGTCCTAGACAACAGAGCCTCCAGAGCAAGATGATTTGATCCAAAATACAAAATAAATTCCCTTTCACTACCATAAACAGAAAAACATGTAGTGCTCCAGTTTCGAGTCGAGTCGTTAGAAATTGCCTTTATTTTTAACCGAAGTAAAGTGGTCAAGAAGCTTGAAGAATTGTCAAGTTGTTGAAGTATGGTAGGTGATACATTATTCCGTGGTTAGACAGCTTTGGATATGGGAACATTGAAAGTCGTGTTCGAAAAATGCCGTGAAGGATTGGCTGTTTTTTGGTTACCAATGCCGAGTCGAGATAGTCAACGAAGTTTTCCGATTACTTATCTCCAATGTTGTTTGTTGTCTGTATTCTGTAATGAATAAGACAGGCCTTTGGTCATTAGTGTGTCTTCATGTCCTCCTGGAGAAAATTTAGTCAGAAATGATCCAGCCTTTATACCGAACCTCACCGTTTCTTATACAGCATCCATATACCGTCGTAACACGCTCGAGCTTTGTTACGTGGAATTTGGGCCGACGATATGTCGAAATAGCGATTTTTATCATTTTCATTTATCTTGCAACCATTTTTTCAAGGCGTTTATATTTTTCTTATTTGGTTCAGATAGCAATTAACAAGATAGTGGTTGAAATCTTCAATTTAACATCTGGTGTAGTTTTGTATGCGTCTTCTGTTTCGATTATCACCTTTAAATAGCCACCGTTTCCTTCTTAGTCTTCAAGGTTTATATTCTCACAGAATGTGGTGGTCTACTCGGTGAAATCATCATCAATCACATGATGCCACGTCATCATTTTATTTATAAATAGTTTGTTTATATCTTTCTGTTGTATTTTGCGATCTGAAAATTTTTAAAATACTTTCCTTGTGTTAAAATAAATGTGTTTTATGATCATTCGTTCTCTGATCTCACTTATAATCTTGATATGGACGGGTGACTCCGCTACATTTGGCCCAATCTGAGACTAAGCCTCTCATTGGTATATTGGTCAAGCATAGCCTTTGTTTACATCGCGCGTCACAGTGACGTCACGATCAATGAGAGGCTTAATCTCAGATTGGGCCAAATGTCGCCGAGTCTCCCATATGGACCAATTGAATATTGACATGAAGCCAACCTCCCAGGACGGTACAACAATATATACGATGCAAACGAGCGACCTTCATCAAATAGAGAACTAATCCAGAATGAAATAGATAACTAGATTACTCTGATAATATAAGTTGAAAGCTATAACAACAAACCTTTTATTGGGGACCTATACCCTACACAGGATTCGCCCAGGTACATAATTGCTTAGAAAATATGAGTTAATTATTTACATGTGATCGTTCATTTGCATATCCATTTACATACGGTTCTCTTTTCTCAATGTTTCTTCTCTTGCGTAGCCCTGTAAAACTTGTAAAGGCCAATGCATTGGATTTATTCTTTGTTGTCATAGACAACAGAGCAAGATGATTTGATTCAATTTTATGCAAAAGAAGTTCCCTCTCACTACTTAACTTTAAACAGAAAAACATGTGATGCTCCAGTTTCGAGTCGGTTTTTTATTACATAATGAACAACTTCGGTCAGTTGAGATAAATATTTTATCATAGTTTTCTAAGTTTAAGGTTATAATGATTATATACACACAAGTCTTTATTAATACATTCCGTCTTATACAGACGATTCTCCTGTTAGAAATGAATCTAAAAAGAAAGGAGAAGCAGGGGAAGAAATTGAATCCTCGCTCAGAAAAGAGAAAATGAAGAAAAGGAAAGAATATCTATGTACAAAAGTTGAGACTATATACATCGTTTTTCGTGCGTAGAACTATAATGATTATAAATATCAAGTGTTCCAAGCTCTATGATGAATCTCAGTGAGTAGTGTGCCTCTTCACCTCCTTTCTTTCTTCTATCTATCAACGCTATAAGAAAAGCATACATAATCCAAATAAATTAATAGTACGGGGCTACGGCGCATTTATAAGTACAAAGTCGAACTGCTTTTCACATGTGTAGATATGTGGTGCACTTATAGTCACCCTCCCAAGTACTGATCGATATTGCTCAACTTCGGTGATCGGACGAGAACGGGTGTTTTCAATTTGGTATGGCCGTCGACACTTATAGTAAAAGCTGTCGCCTACTTCTACCCACCATGATTACCATGGCCTGTACCACGTGTACTAGGAATAAGCAATCAAAAAAGTGTTCTAAGACGGTGATGTTGTTCTAACAGCGCGGTATGGTTGCAGAATGTGTGTATGGCGGTCAAGTCTACTACCCGGGCAACGTCCTTCAGATCAACTGTAACAAATGGTAAGTTCTGTCCACGTATGGGACAAGCTGTGACATTTTGATGGTTTGGGGAGTTAGGACGACCATCAACAATTATCTTTATTTCTTCCTAGATATTTATAATTGTGGATTATGAATCAAATAGTGTGCAAAACGTTTTGTTGAAATAGGTAACTAATATTTCACAAACTATGTCGATATTCGATATATCCGCAATTAGAGCTTTCTCTACTCGCCATGATGAGTGCCTCCACTTCTAGATAATTGTAGCAAGGATAAACTCCAAATTCATATATTTAAAGAAACATTCGCGTTGAAATAGTTTACTTTTATAAATGTAGATGGCGCTCTAATTATTTATATATAAGGTAGACCTAACAGGCTTAGTTTGTTTGTATGTGTGTATGTGTTTGTTTGTGTCTTTGTGTGTGCGCGCTTGTTTTTATGGGTGTGTGTGTTTTTGTGGGTGTGCTTGTTTTTGTGTCTTTGTGTGTGCTTTTGTATGTGTTTGTGCGTGTTTTTGTGTGTGTGTTCGTATATGCGAGTTTTTTGTCTGTATATATGTGTGTTTGTAGGCGTGAATTGTTTGAGAAATTCTCTAAACATGCATTTTATCGTATTTTTGCTGTCTTCAAAGCTTATATCCATAGGTCACTTTTAAAAATACATTTTTATCAAGATAATTTCTCAAAAGTTCCGAATATATAAACAAAACAGACGCCCCAATACAATATTACAGCAGTATGGTAGTCCAGGGTAGCCTAGTGGACATGGCATCTGCCCGGTAAGCGGAACATTGTGGGTTCGATTCCCATCCCTGGACACTTTTATTTTTCCGTTTATCATTACTCTTCATAATTCACCCTTTCATACCTGTTTTAATGTCCATCCATACAGAGTTCAAAACAACAACTACTCACCCGTGCAGGCCCGGTCACCCTCCGCCGCGGCACGTGGGAAAACAATCAATGTTCCCAGTATGGTAGATTAAACAGGCGAAACCGCTGGGAGGGTTCAACAATGATATGAGCCAGGATCTCTCGCAATATATGTTATCATATCAACAAAATAAGGTAGAAATTGTTATGTTTGAAAAAGAAACAATCACCATTAAATATCATAAAGATAGAGGCTGCCTGGCCGGCATTCATATTTATATGAAAAATAGAACTCCAACTTGCCGAAGTGTCTATTTTTCATATAAACACGATTAAATAGTTGAGATTTCAAAATACAGATGGCGCACCAATTCATTCTCCACACAGGCCATTACACCTCAGTCAACGTCTAAATTCCCAGCTTTCAGATGTCCGAACAACACCCCGATAGTATTCCAAATGTCTTAAGAATTTGAATTACGTACCACGTGATCTAAATGAACCAATCAGTTTTAGGTTTATTGGCCAATTAAAGTGCAGTGTTTATTTAACTCTGAGGTTGGATGGAACAACAGGATTTCAATATTAAATAGAAGATCGTGAGTTCGATTCTAGAAGGTTTTCTTTTTTTTTTTTCTTCTTTTTGATAATATGGAAGTTATTTTTGTTATTCTCTCTTTGTGCTTTATTGTTTCTCATAATTTCACCGTTTCTGGAGTTCTGAGGTCCATTCTGAGCTGTTTTTGAGAGTTTCACTAAAGACAAGGTTTGTGTGTGATATTTGATCTCCTTCTTCACTGTTAACTTTCCTTGAAATCGACGTGAGTTTAAATATTCATCAAATATGTTACTTCTGATGTTCCATAGTGAGCTAATGCTTCAGTTCACTAATGTATTTCTTCGACCTTTCATAGTTCATAGCCAGTTTGAGAGTTTCACTTTGGACAAGGTTTGAATCTGTGTATGATGTTTGATCTTCTTCTTCACCGGTAAATTCACTTGATATCGACGCAATTTTAAACATTAATCAAATATACAGCAACAAAAAGCTTTGTTAATACAATTAGTCTTATACAGATTCTCATAGCAGATATGTACAGTACATACAGGAATAACAGTAATAATACAAGTGATAAGCAATTTTATTAATATAATTTCTAAAGCTAATCACATATAAAGGTAATATGAAATTTATATACAGGAAAACTCTTAATTAAGACAATCAAGCTAATAAATAGATTAGTTATGGGTAAATTGGAGGAAAAGAAATTTCTTATACACGTGGAGTCACCCCGAAATCTCTGCAAGTGAAAAAAAAGTAAAAGCTAATAAGATATTTAATAATAATCATCAAACATGTTACATCTCATGTGGCCATGTTAGCTAATGCTACAGTCATTAATGTAAAACAAGAACATTAAGCCTTCAGGGAAAAGTTTCTTTTAAAAATATTTTTTATTTAAAAATTTCTCAAGCTTTCGGGTAAGAAAGCCCTTCTACGGGAGAAAATATTTACATTATTAAAACACCAATAAATAAGATTTAATGTAAATATGTTCTCCCATATAAAGGCTTTCTTTACCGAAAGCTTGAGAGATTTTAAAATGAAAAATATTTTTAAAAGAAACTTTTCCCTGGAGGGGCTTAATTTTCTTATTTTAATATATATATTTTTGTTTGCTTATCCCTAGTACACGTGGTACAGGCCATGATAATCATGGTGGGTAGTTAGCGACTGCTTTTTACTGTAAGCGCACCACATGTCTACACATGTGAAAGCAGTTCGACTTTGCACTTACAAATGTGCCAGAGCCCCGTTTGGTTACTTGCACTCGCTGGTGGGGTTGGACTTTTGCAAGAATCGGGGGGCCATTGGAGCATTTTTTTTTTAAACAGAAAAAAGTGTCCAATGCGGGGATCGAACCCGGGTCGTAGTGGTCGTAAACCAAACGGTTTAACCAGCCTTCCACCGACCCCCCCTTATTTTAATATTGATTCAAGGGATTATTTCATCGAATTGAGTCATTAATGTATTTCGTTGAATTTTCATATCGAGTTTTAGAGAGTTTCACTTAGGACAAGGTTTGATCCTGTTAGAACTATGTGTGATATCATTACGAAATGACCGACAAGAAGAGAAATCAGTTATATAACAGCTCTTCTTAGCAGGTGACTGTATCATCCCTATGGCATGTGTTTATCTGTCCTGGAATGTAATCTCAGGCACGTACACTTCGTTATAAATCTTGTCTATATCTGGACTCGAGGCTATAAACATCCTTTCGTATTGGAATCCCCATCAATAATTTACAAATATAAAAAAGATCAGGTATTGATATTAATATAAAAAATACATCCTGACCACGCTAACATGAGCTTTTTAGATGGTAGAGGTTTTACTGTATTCAGAGAGTGATTTAAAAATATTGATGAAACAGAGGCAGGGATGTATTAGGGTTTATTATGGGAAGTGTGATTTTTTATCTTTTGGTAGGCCATGGTTACAAGGGGTCGAATCAATGGGGTCGTTGGGTTCAGACAGGCTGGTTATAGGGGGTGTTGTTGCTGTAGCATGACATGTTATATCATTTTCTGTCATGGTGTATTCATATCGAGGGGTAAAAGATAACAGGTTCACTTTTTTTCAGAAGGAAAAAAATTGCTTGAATGGTCCCTGAATTCTTGCAAAAGTCTTCTCTCCTTCTTCTTTCTTATCTCCACTCAATCATATTAGGGTATCAAGTTGTGACCCTCAGGCAAAGTCAGACTTTCACCAAAGTGTGCCATGATCAACGAAAGCTGCACCCCTACACCCCATTCCATGAGATCATGGAATTTGTGTAATCTTTACACAAGGGGATAAGAAACAACAACAGATGGCAGAGCGTCAGCTAGTGGAACAGAAATCATTTACTAATAAAAGCCAAGATGGTCTATTAAATTTCAAACATTCTTAGTGAAGTAATGTGGAATTTTATGTTTCGATTAGATTGTCTAACTAGAGTATAGTATCAGTCTTTATAAATAATTATATTTTAAACAATTGGACTAATATTCGTTAAGGGTGAATACACATTTAATGTGATACAGTAAATGACGGAAGGTGGGAAAACATAAATAAACTTGTACCATTCTATACAGTCAAGGAGATGGTATGATGTTAAAGATGAAGGATCCTCCTTCAGATAATCAGGGGGTCTTCATCAACCCCTCGCCATGAGGATGAAGAAAAACTTATAAATGGGTGTCTTGTTGAGGCGGGAATGGAGTGGGCGTTGTTTTCCAGCCCTTTCCCTGTGGGTCTGATCCATTCTGTGGACTATAGAGTCTGTGGACTAGAGAGTCTATGGACTATTGTGGGAAGACATTAAGGGAGTCCAGGAGTCCTGTCACTCTCCAACCCATAGTGGCCATCCACATGGACTGTGGCGGAAGAGTTTATATGGCACTGCTTCTTTTCAGCCTTCAGTACTTAGTCATGTACGACTTCATCCACACATTCTTTTTCCTCGCAAAGAGGTCTTGCTGCTTGTTTCCCGACCTGAAGAATTTAAGTACAAATGTATTCGCCGAATTGAAAATTCCAGGCAATAATTGCATTTGTGTCTACATATTTGCAAAACAAGCAAACAAGCTAACTTGAGTAAATTGGGGAAACAACATTAGCTTTTATCATTGTATTTCCGTTTCCTCCTTTTGTGCCTTCCTCTACTAAGGATGGGCCACATGATCTGTTACGCCATCCACTTTATCTCTTCGTATGTGTGTCGTCCAGTCCATTGTTTCATGCCGTCCATATACTCTTGCCTTCTTTTCCCACGTGGTCTCTTACCGTGGATCTTTTCCTACAGAACCGTCAACTGATCCACACATCACATGTCCATCAAAGTCAGCTTCCATTTCATTCTCACCATTGTATCTATACATTCTATATCTCAATAT